AGCGTTAAAAGGTGAACTGGTAGGGAAAATGTCCTATATGTGGATTACCTCGTGGCTCTGTAATCTTATCACGAATACATAACGATTTACCTGTGACGATATATAGTATCAATCAATAACTATTCCAATGTAAGTAATACCAATATAATAAATCGGTTTCAATGCATGTAGATATGAGAGGCTACATCAGCTTGTTTTTCAGATACAGTAGTTTCACATTTCCTTTTATATCGTTTCCTGTGTAAGTCATTATTTTCGGTATTTTTATATTGTACAAGTTTTAAGGATGGAAGAAATTGAGAAAACTACAAATAGAAAAAGCATACTTTGGAGATAAAATTAAAATGGAAATCCCTATTCCACCTATCGATAGATAAAACATCTACCTGAATCTCTCAGTAAAAAGTAGAACGATCAGAACTGCCGTATAGTATAATAATGTTGGTGGTTTCCTCGTTTTGTATTAGGTCACTTTAAACCTATCGCTATATCTGTTAGCAAGTTTACTATCGTAACAAACAATATGTACTACAAATATATGTATCATAACGTTATGATTTGTTTAATCAATAACTGAAACAAAACATTGGTAATGTGTTTTGTTTTAAATCTAGATATGTTCTTATGTTTCAGTAACTGTTTCCAATTTCATGTTTCATCGAAAGCTGCAGGGTTTGAAGTTACCACAAGTAAGTAATCAATCTGATATTAAACATTAATTAGGAAAAGCTCATCGATGGATGGCAGCACTTTCTGAATTGTATATTTTTAAAGGAAAGATTGACAATGTAAAACATGTTTAATTGGAAAGGATTCAGCGTTGTATTTCCCAGACTATGATAACCATAATCGTTAGTAATAACGGAAAAGCACCTACACATCGACGGTAAAGCATAGATATTGTTGTCAAGGTGACGAGGAATTTATCATCACCAGAAACATAGATATTGTTGTCAAGGTGACGAGGAATTTATCATCACCAGAAACAGAGACATTGTTGTCAAGGTGACGGGGAATTTATCATCACCAGAAACAGAGGCATTGTTGTCAAGGTGACGGGGAATTTATCATCACCAGAAACATAGATATTGTTGTCAAGGTGACGGGGAATTTATCATCACCAGAAACAGAGACATTGTTGTCAAGGTGACGAGGGAATTTATCATCACCAGAAACATAGATATTGTTGTCAAGGTGACGAGGGAATTTATCATCACCAGAAACATATACATTGTTTTCAAGGTGACGAGGGAATTTATCATCACCAGAAACATATACATTGTTGTCAAGGTGGCGGGGGAATTTATCATCACCAAAAACATAGATATTGTTGTCAAGGTGGCGGGGGAATTTATCATTACCAAAAACATAGATATTGTTGTCAAGGTGACGGGGGAATTTGTCATCACCAGAAACATAGATATTGTTGTCAAGGTGACAAGGGAATTTATCATCACCAGAAACATAGATATTGTTGTCAAGGTGACGAGGGAATTTATCATCACCAGAAATATAGATATTATCGTCAAGGTGACGAGGGAATACCATCATCAGTAGAAACATAGATATGGTTGACAATGTGATGAGGGAATTTATCATCACCAGAAACATAGATATTGTTGTCAAGGTGACGAGGGAATTTATCATCACCAGAAACATAGATATTGTTGTCAAGGTGACGGGGGAATTTATCATCACCAGAAACATACATATAGTTGTCAAGGTGGCGGGGAAATTTATCATCACCAGAAACATAGATATTGTTGTCAAGGTGACGGGGGAATTTATCATCACCAGAAACATACATATTGTTGTCAAGGTGGCGGGGAAATTTATCATTACCAAAAACATAGATATTGTTGTCAAGGTGACGGGGGAATTTATCATTACAAGAAACATAGATATTGTTGTCAAGGTGACGGGGGAATTTATCATCACCAGAAACAGAGACATTGTTTTCAAGGTGACGGGGGAATTTATCATCACCAGAAATATAGATATTATCGTCAAGGTGACGAGGGAATTTATCATCACCAGAAACAGAGACATTGTTGTCAAGGTGACGGGGGAATTTATCATCACCAGAAATATAGATCTTGTTGTCAAGGTGACGGGGGAATTTATCATCACCAGAAATATAGATATTATCGTCAAGGTGACGAGGGAATACCATCATCAGTAGAAACATAGATATTGTTGACAATGTGATGAGGGAATTTATCATCACCAGAAACATAGATATTGTTGTCAAGGTGACGGGGAATTTATCATCACCAGAAACATAGATATTGTTGTCAAGGTGACGGGGGAATTTATCATCACCAGAAACAGAGACATTGTTGACAATGTGACGAGGGGATACCATTATCAGTAGAAACATTGATATTGTTGACAATGTGACGAGGGAATTTATCATCACCATAAATATAGATATTGTTTACAACGTGACGGGGGAATTTATCATCACCGGAAAGAGAGACATTGTTGACAAGGTGACGAGGGAATACCAAAATCAGTAGAAATATAGAAATTGTTGTGAAGGGAAGAGGGGATCCAGTATCATTAGAAACATATATATATTATTGTCAAGGAGACGAGGGATACCATTAACAATAGAAAAATAGATATTATTGTCTAGGTGACTAGAACACGAGGGGAAACCTGTATCAGTAGAAACATAGATATTGTTGACAAGGTGACGAGGGAATACCATCATCAGTAGAAACATAGATATTGTTGTCAAGGGAACGAAGGGATTTATTTTCACCAGAAACAGACAAATTATTTGCATGGTGACGAGGGGATACCTATATCCCTTGAAACATAGACATTGTTTACAGGGTGACGAGGGGATACCTGTATCACTTGACTCATAGACATTGTTGACAAGGTGACGAGGGGATACCTGTATCATTAGAAACATAGACGTTGTTGACAAGGTAACGAGGGAATACCATCATCAGTAGAAACATAGATATTGTTGTAAAGGGAACGAAGGGATTTATTTTCACCAGGAACATAGACATTGTTGACAAGGTGACGAAGGGATTTATTATCACCAGAAACATAGACATTGTTGACAAGGTGATGAGTAGATAGCAGTATTACCAGGAACATTAGACACTGTTGCCAAGGTGACGATAGGATACCTGTATCGTTAGAAATATAGATATTGTTGACAAGGTGACGAGGAGATACCATCATCATTATATCGGTTATTTGTATTGTATGTATGCTTTATCTGCGCTATGTGAGGTGTCATTGTGTAGAAGCATACTAAATTAACTATTGTAAATTATGATATTAAAGTTTGTATTGTATCCAAAATATGTTGTTCTTATGTATAATATTGTTTGCTTAATGAGTAAGTTATCTGTTCAACTGAAATGATATGTCCAGGTTATTGCAATATGCTTACGTATATTTTGCATCAACAAAAATTTAATTTACAGAAAGATCAAGATGCGTTATTGCTAATGGAGGATGCTGAAAATGATAATTATACATTTGTGACTAACAGAATGTCAAGGATGCACAATAAGATTCAATATTATGTTTGAAATGTTATGAACGAGATCTGTTATGCGAAGGAAATTGTCAAATTGATTTTACATTAACTTGTGAAAGTCATATCCAGATTGGCCTTTTAACATCGAATGCTGACTGAATATGAATGGGATGCTTTTCTACTCCCACCTGTGAATAAATGTTTGATAATCTCGAACTAATATGTATTGTTGTACATGGCGATGTGACAGCTCTCAACATGGCTTGTTTATGCATGAATGTTTGTTTTGTTTGCTGAACGGGTTTGTAAAATATTGACTTAAACCATCGCCCTATTGGAGCTTGGTCGCTATAGCTTTATTTACCTCTTCTACGTAGAGAGCTCTTTATTAGCTTTCTGAGCCGCTAGACTAGCGCACACGGACATATGAGATCGGGAAAGTTTTATTTAAATTGCGATGATGACGTCCATTTGTAAAGAGGTTGGTATCCAGTACAGAATATTTAACGGTTACATGTAATACATGAACGTTAACGTATTGTTAACTTTTTATTTGGTATTCAACTGAAACCTCGGCACCGAAATGTAAATCTTAAATCCTAGTGATGCATTATTCGATTTACACTGAACAATTCATTGATACACGGAGCGTCACAATACAGGAGGCGGGACCAACCGACAGGATACCACCACTAGCTCAATCTCAACAGATACTTTTTAAATATTCTTGTTCGAAGGAAAGGTAATTTATTTCAAATCGTCTGCATAATCAGTCACTGTGAGCGAATTTCTCTGGGTACATGTTAGTTAGAGACTGCATATGATGTTTCTTATTATCATTTGAAACTTTTAGGACTTTAAAACAAAATAATTTGTGTTGAGGAATACGTTGGTGATGCCTTTGAACGTTTATGGAATATTCAGTATAGGACAGAATATCACATTTTTAAATAATTTTAATCGCTGAAAACACATTGATGCATTGCAGCCTGATTAAGATATTGATAATAGAAATTGCGTTAATACCACCTGCATAAAAGAAATTTTAATTTGATAAAAGTTTTCTTTTTTTTTGTTTAAGGTCTTTGTGAAATAATTGGTTTAACCGGAAATTAAAGGACAACCAGAATATTTCCCATATATATCTCATTTCCACATCACTTTGGATAGATACGGTTGTGATTCGTCCATTCGTCGAAGCTTGCATTCACAGATCTACAACAGTGGCATGTGAATAGTGAAGTGATAATACTGAAGAGCGCCAGAACGAACCAACACTGGTCGAGAAAAGATTCACACATATAACCATCAGAAATTGAATATCGTCAATCTGGTTTATCGAGTGGATATTGAACGAATTAAAATTATACAAGGCAAAAACGATTTCTCTAACAGAAACCATGTGACGTGTCCGTACTATACGTAAGAAGAAAACATGCCTTAGGAGTTTTGAAACAATATCAAAGGGATATCTGCATACACGACAAGCAAAATGGGCAGTACTCAGTATGATAACGTGGTAGCAGTTATCTCGAAGAAACCCGAACTTAGACAAGACTTCGAGATACAGGGATTGTTACCATGGTTGCGGAAGAAATCTCAATTATTTTCGCAACTTAAGACAGGTAAGTTTTTATAAAAACAGGACATGAAGAATGGTGGCTAATTTATTCAATTTATAATCGTCAACATTATGTGTTGGATAAGCTGTTAAGCAAGTGAGTTAGCACAGGGTTAAGTATGATAACAGGCTGTTACAAATACTTCCCTTCTTTCAGGTGATGATTGATAAATATTTACACTGAAATCCTGATGTTCCTGACACGTTGTAGTGTTAGACAATACTAGTATCAAGCCGTTATCATGGACACTTGGTACGCTAACTATGTAGTGACCTGATATCCTTGTATATAACGATTATCAGCTGTATGGGTTATGAGAATTAACCATGAGATTACTGACTGACTGCTGATGTTAATTGGTTAACCTTCCTAACAACACATGATGCAAACGATTGACTTTCAAAAACAAATATCAATAATGTCATTTTATGCAGATTTTGTAAATAAGTATTGACGATATATTTGGTTTAAAAGGTAGCAATTAGTTCCAGACGAAGAGATCTATGGCCTTCATATTAATGGTTTTGTACACTTAATCCGACCGAGGATAGGGCAGTTCCCATTTAACTAAATTAGGTCGGACAACTATGGTACAAGTTAGGAATGTAAAAGTTCTATCTGTGAATGTAATTTAGGAATGTAAACCCTTTTTCTTAATGCCACAAGTCCATTATCAAGTATCATTTTAGATAAAATATTTTTTTCGAAATGATTATGACAAAAAATCATAAATATGTCATTTTCATCGATGCTGACGAAGATATTCGTTCTTAATTTATCATAAGTTGACAAATGGAGATGGCAAAGACACTTAATGGAATAGAGTTGTTTGAGACTACTTATGATAAGTTAAGTGAGACAAGACCCTAAGATAATATGTTTGAATGGTCATGTTTGTTCAGTGTTTAAACAGGGTAAATACGATTAAAGCTGAATGTTTGAAGGTAATTGATATGAAAATGACGAGGGTTTGCCTTGGTAAAATTATTTGTTTTAATATTCGTATTTACATAAAACGGACACGAAAGATTATTAAGATTATTGCCTAGGTGATAAGAACGGAGAATTTGAACTTTTTGAAAAACTGGAATTGAAATCGAAGTTGAACAATTTAATTGCTATGCAGCATTAACAAAATTATGAGCCATGTCATTCTCAGTAAGTGAATCGATGCCGTGCTTATCAAGACCATGGCATCTTTTTATTTCGATTACTGCATGGGTTTACTCGAATATGGGACTCTCGTAGATGTTTGTATGTCTTATATGATGAAATATCGTACAATCATATGGCAAGATGTCAACAAGAAATTCTGTACTTTAGTGATAGTTTTTCACAATGGGGTTGTGAGTTTTAACCAAAGTCATAAATTGCTTAACAACAAAGGTAGCCTGTCGACTTATCAAACAGGTGAGGATCCGCTTTGTTGGCAGAATGTCCCTTTAGAATGACAAAATATGTTAATTTCTCGCAAGCCTTTTCAGTTAATCACATGTACCAGTGAAAAACCATAATCGTATTACATGCACGCCGCACTTTCATCGGTGATCTTAAAATTAGAAAATCATGTTAGCTCCACAATAGTACAAAATTGTTTATATCTACGTCAGGCATTTTTGAGACGAATTACTTAATTTATTCATTAAAATAATAATAATGATAAACTATTTGCTGTCCGAAGTTTTATTTTGAATTACGTTTTCTAAGAGGATATCAATCAGAAGCATTCTTTGAATCTGACTTGATGAAGCAGGGCTCTATAATAACATACGGGTCATCGATGTGTAGGGGATAGCAGTAATGAATATGCCCGGCGTATATATATCTAAAACATATCGTCAATATCTCAAAACGTTGAAAGCTTTTGTTAAAAAGTCAAGAATGCTTGGGAATGACTGTCAAAACTAACTTATCGTCTTCTGTAAAATTGTTAATCCTGAACTTTCATTTCGTACTGACATTCAGCGACCAAAAAATTTTTTTTTGTGTGTGTGTGTGTTTCTTTCTTTTTTTTTTAATTTACCTTTCCAAGAAAGATGATAATTAATTGTTGATATTCATCAATCTTGTCCCAGTTATTTTGACTAAAATATAGTAAGTAGGTCAGCGAGGTCAATGCATAACGATGTAATTTCACACCGATGTATATACTTACAAAGATGTCATACTCTTGGCCGACAACATTGAGGAAGGACTGGAGACTTTGGTGTCCACATCGCACGATATATTCAATTATTTTTGAGAGCATAATAATGGTGTATGCATTCTCGTGTAATTATCTGTGAAATTATGGTTTTTAGTTTCCAGTATTCTATGAGTCTGTTAGAGGTAACATTACAGGGAAGTTGTTCGGTGGTATACCCAGGAGAGTTTATATGTATTGTATACCGTTATGTACATCTGCCTCAGATTTAATAATACATGTAGTCTAGATATTCAAGGGTTTGAGTGAAGGTTTCCCTGTATAAACAGATTGAGTTTACTCCAGATAAATACACTAGCGAAAGTTGTTTAGCAGGTCTCTATGTTTACATCACACACGTTGGTTAAAGGGGTGTCTGTTTATTCATAACGGTATTCACATATTGTTCTCGATAAGCTACACATTAAGATGGGAACATTCAATATATGTTCTCAACTTTATTACACTTACTGTATTTTTGTTTTCATTCGGTAGAAATAAATAATGCATTTTCCGCATTATTTGCTTTTCCTACCTTTCTTCCATTTGAATGTTGCAAAATATGATAAGTCGTTTTGGTATTTCAGGACAAGACTTTAGAATTTTAGACCACGCCGCTCTGAAAGTATACAATTATAGCTTGTTTACAATCTGTACACAAGTAAAGGTGGCCCACTACCTGTTTAAGTTCTATCCCATCAAAAGAGGTTTTTATTTGAGTTATATTACATGTTGATTATGAGATAAAAACTTTTACCAATAAGATTAAAAGAGTTGTAAGTCATGAAATGTAAAGTGTCTCCACGTGACTCAGGGTAAGGGGAGACGGTTAATATGTCGGGTGTAAGATGTCCTGATAGATCAGGGGTGACAGCACAGTGGAGTTTTGTCAGTCCATATATTGTTGTTCTCGAGTGCTTTTGGAACAGTTATATAGTTCAAGTAATATTCCGTCCCTTTTAATTTCGTGGCTACACACGGTTCGCGTTTGAAAGCAAGTGACATATATGTATTTTCTAATCTGTGAATACATGAGGATGTGTTTTCTCGAGTCAACAACTATTTGTATTAAAATATAGAATTAGGTTTCAATAACACAGTAATCGTGTCATCTGCTCCAAAATAAAATCCTTAACCGTATATTAAGCATATAGAAAACCATAGTGCACCCTGGTGTGTGTAATGCCACACAGCATTGTCCACATCATTTTTAAGATATTCGTGTAGTTATGTAAGACACCTGAATAATAAGAATGTACAAGACACACACAAGGGAGTAGCACATTTCAATACATATTTAGAGCCAGATCAGTAGAACCGAATAAGGAATTGAACTGCGTTGTACGGCTATTTCGTTAAGGAGTCGTCAGTGGTGAAAAGAGCCTAACAAGATTAAACCTTTGAGACAACTAAGTAAGATGCAAATTCGTTTAGATAAAGGTCAAGACCAAAATGGGCAGATGCACTAGCCCAAACATTTAATAAATTGCATATTTTAAAATATAGAATGATTTCAAAAGAACATCAAATACATTTACATATTCCAGGTCATGCTATTACTCGAATTAATTAAAGTGAGATATGTTTTTCATCTTCGAGATATCACGATATAAATACATTGTGTTGCATCTTGATCTATATACGATATATATAGTCATGTGTACGATGAGTTCGCGCAGGACTGTTATAACATAATTGACATCGCAGATTGTTTATTTACAGCCAACATGTTTGTATGTGAAGACAACAGTGGAATATGAAATATCAAATCAATAATCCAGAACACATTGATGTAGCCATGTTGATAGTCAGGAGAATACAGAAAGTTGTTGACATATTCTGGTGTGTTATGTTAACTTTTCTCATAACCGTTTTAATTTTCACATATCAAACGAACAGCTTTGGGTGATTAATGTCCGTCAGAGTTACTGAGGCCATCGCTAAACGTGCTCTTCATGTCATTAAATCTCAATAACTGGTTGTCATGCTACCAATGAAATATAAAGGACAAAGCACAATTGCTGACCTATACATCAAGCATAGAAACAAAGGTTGCGGATATTAAACAACTGCGATCATCGATAGGATATCCTGTGTTTATTAATGCAAAAATAACAACATAAATGGGTTGATACTTATTTGATATGGATATGGGTTTTCAACACAATTTTCAAATTCTGATGTTCTTCAAAGTATTACCATTATTACTGTAATGCACCAATAGGAAAACGTCAAGACAGATTTTTAATGCATACTGTTTTTGATGTAACAGCAGAGAATAATTTAGTTCAGTTTTATACTAAATCATTGCATTCAGCGATGAAACAGATTCAACTGACAGAGTCTGCTTAAACGTAATGATAAGCATGATAAGAATGTCGAAATAATTTTAATTATGACTTTGCTAGCGTGCAGTTATCTATAGCACCGACACAGGAATCTTCAGTGTAATCGAATTGTTTACCATTGGTCTTTTTGTGCCATAGATCGGTATACAGAATAATAATCATCATGTGATATTTAACTCATACTTTTCGTTTTTAATGACACATTATACGGCAGGGTAACTACTGACACTGGTCTCTCTCTCAGAGGAATGTGAATACAGAGGTAGACAGGCCGATTTCAAGCTGTAGTGCGTCACAATAGCACTCGATTAATGTATTTCCAGGATGATCAAAGAGTGAGGATCGAATTTATTGGAGATCGATTTTAGACACTTATGTTACGATGGCTTATTGTAATGAATTGTGCTGTTTTCGCTACCAATAGAATATCTGGTTAGGACTCCCTACCTTCTATAATTGTTTATTTTTTAAAC